AACGAATGAGTCTGCTGTGGGAACCGGTTAAAATGTGACTACTTGGAGTGGATCCCGTGACTGAAAGGTGTGCGGCGCTTTATCTTAAGTGCGAGCTACTCACACTGGTGATCAGTCCACTCGTGACCGACCGGTTACTTGTTCAAGCCCGGGCCGCAAGACCGCTGGTTAAAAGCCCTCCGGTTTCCGTAAGATGCGCACTGCTGATGAATGAAACAGTTGTACAGGGCTTCTAGACTCTTCTACAATATCAGGAAGGCCAGATCCCTGAAGGCAACCACCGAGTGCCCGAAATTTACTGGACCTCAGCTCGGCTGGATGCGGACCAGACAGGCAGCGCTCACTCAATATGCAATGCGTCACAGACTTGTATCCAATCCAGCCAGCGCGAGTCAGCGTTGGTCAAGGTTAGACAACGCCCCCGCAATATGCAGCGCGTCGCAGTCTCATACCAAAGCCAGACCGCGTGCGTCACTGGACCAATTTCAAGCGGTGTCCCTCTAATAAACAGCTTGAGACCGCTGCATTTTCGCATCCGCACGAACTCACACTCTCGCACTCGCTTGTTCGGAATATAGCAGCTGTTGTGTTCCCTCCTGTGAGTCTTTTTTTCCGGCATTAGGCACTGCAGTGGGTCAGCAGTCAGATACAACAGATTGACGAATCAGCACTAAGATGGCCTTTACTTACGAGATGAAATCCTTACTAAAGCAAATTACAAACATGACATCAACTGCTGATAGATACATGGAGTTTCACTGGTTGTTTGTACTGGGTTTCGAACCAGTAGCTCACCGAATCTGACTACTTCGGTGGAGACGCGTTTTAACCTATCTGGATCGGAAAATGCGGACTCTCCCTTTCTGGTCCGTTGGAATACCAGTACGGGCACAGCTTATCGCTCGATCTATCGTCCCATTTTGGAATCGAATCGCCGCCTGACACGTAACTAGTGGCCATATGCATTTTTGCGTAAAAGCGATGGTGAATGGTCCCCCTTCGGCCCGCATATTTGGCTAGCTGCACTGATAAGGTTGACGCTTTAACGAACCTTTCGTCCCAACCTTTGCATCTCCATGGTTTTCCACTTCCATCGATCTCCAACCAGAGCCACCTGAAAGTGTCGGCCTTTCATCTGCTCTAGCTGCCAGTCGACTTAATTGAGCAGCATGGCTTGTTAGATGCCTTAGGTAATCTACTTCGAATAATTGCGTTGACGACACATCTATACGGAAGTTGACTACATGCGTCTTTGTGTGGTATCCTTCGACCTTAACACACGCACATCACACGAACTCTCCTGGAATAATCAAATTGCCGATTTCATTCGAAATGAGTTGTCTTCACATTACGTAGCGCATTGGCGTGTGTTGTGAAACACGGAAGAGGCGCCTCCAAAGATGGACAAGTCATTAGCATGTGTGATTTGATACATTTGGACAGACTGGGGGGCTCGAAATTGAATGTCTGAACGAAACAACACTTTTGACTACTTGTTGGTAGTGTGAGAAGATTTGGGATTTTCGTGGAGATTCCGTCCTGTAAGTGAAGTCAATCTATGCTGAAAAGCTGAGAAGCACTCTACAGCTGTTTCATCCTTATTGGGAATCGTCAGCAGTGCGCATCTCACGAAAGTCCGAAGAGCCTCGATCCCGCGACTTCCTGGCTAGTAGTTTGAACACTTAACCGTTTGGCCACGAGTGGCTGATCAGCAGTGTGATTAACTCGCACTTAGACAGGATATAGCGCCGCTCATCCTTCAATCACGGGATCCACATTACGCGGTCACACGTGTTGACTGGCACCTCGAGCAACAACTTCTCAGAGAAAGTTTCACTCATCGGGTGAAGTTTATTCTTCCAGTGAGCTACTTATAGATTGTTGGTAGTGTGAGGAGATTTGGGAGTGTGAGTTAATCACACTGCTGATCAGTCGCTCGTGGCCGAATGGTTGTGTTCAAACTACTAGCCAGGAAGTCGTGGGATCGAGACTCTCCGGAGTTTCGTGAGATGCGTACTGCTGATGATTCCCAATAAGGATGAAACAGTGCTTCTCGGCTTTTCAGCACAGATTGACTTCACTTACAGGAACGAAATCTCACACTTTTGACTCCTATCTGGACCTCAGATGTATTGTTTCTAGTCGGCACACCAAGAACGAAGAAGTTTGACTCAATAGGAAGAAGGCTTAGTGTGAGTTGTAATCACTTTCTCGGTCCACCCATTACAGACAAACGCATGGCCAACTACTTAGCTCACACATTCACAAAGCATTTGCACGGTGTGTTGCAATATCGAAGCCCGATTGATGGGCTTCATAGTGCAAAGAATCACAAAGCCCAACATGTTTGGACAAATCTACTCTAAAACAAAACTCCCCCACAATCTTCCTGAGAGGCACATTTGAATCCATGATGACATTGCTGCAATCTACTCTAAAAACTCCCCCACAATCTTCCTGAGAGGCACATTTGAATCCATGATGACATTGCTGCATCAGACCACCTCGTGTTTCAGCCAGCTCAATTTTCCAGACGTTGCAGTACACATGTAACAAACTACTCACATGGTTGCTGAAAATTCCTCGAGAGCTCACGACCGGTTTCGTTCTTGCTGGCGCTCATCAGGTAGGAGCAATCTCCGTCAATTTTACGTCAACCTTAATTCCGTCAAAACGAATTTCGTGTACAAATGTCCTGATTTTTTTCAATTTCGGGGGTTCAAATAGATTAGTCGGTTGATAGGATCTCAGCGGGGACTGCGCCTACCTGCCGACTCCGAAGAGGAAATGCGAATCCCGTCCTGGACTCTCAAAGGGTTTCGGGTAACATTATGAGTAGTACGTTACGATTACCT